TCCAAAAAAGAAAAATAATCAAGATTTTAGGGCTATTATTTTTTCTTTTGTAATTGTGTAAAAAAATGGGGAAAAACATAAAAAGCAGAATTTTAATGTGAAAACATTTTTTGCTATAATCATTAGTTTTAGAGGCATTGTTAGTTTAGTGTGTGTGTGCAGAGTCCATTTCCCACATCTTTCCTCAAGTATCTTCTATTTTTATCATGAACTCCCTTTTAATCAACTGTAGGTTATTTAAAATAAATTCCTACAACCTAACGGAAACTTAGTGTCTGCCTCTTTGTTACCCTGGGCCCCAGGCCAGAGTGGGGCTCGGGGCCTGGACTTGGTGTGGGCAGTGGTCTGGCTGCCCAGCTCCCTGCCCAGTGTGGGTCCCAGGGAGCTGGAGTCCACACCCTCAGATAAAGGCAGGCCCGGGGAGTGAGGGGTGGTGCAGAAAGTCTACAAGAACAGACCGGGTGCGGGGACTACATTGGGTTGGCCAGGGAGTCTGTTTCGTTTTTTTCCATAAAAGGAACACTTTAAATTTTTACCACTAAGTTTATTGATTTTGGTATTTCGAATATGTTGGCTGTCTCCTGACATAATCAATTGATTGTTTTCAATTAATGTCTCGATCACTATCGACTTCAACTGGCCTGACTACGGAGCATCCAGCAAGGAACCTTCAGCACGAAACTTTGCAGACCACTTTTGACACGTTCGATCAGTCACAGCACCTTCTCCACACACTGCACGAATCTTTTTGCATTTCAGTTGCATTTTTACCTTTCTTGAAATAATAAAGCATATGCTAAAAACGTTGCAAGTTTTTTCCATCTTCAATATTAAAATGGCTACACAAAATTTCAATTTTGATGTGTGTTGTTTAAATATTTTTAGGGAGGAAGGGAGGGAGAAAGGCAAAGAAACATAAATGTGTGGTTTGCCTCTTGTGCACCCCCTACTGGGGACCGGAACTGCAACTCAGGCATGTGCCCTGACTGGGAACAGAACTGGCAACCCTTTGGTTCACAAGCCAGTGCTCAATCCACTGAGCTATGCTAGCTAGGGTTGGGGTTTTTTTTTTCACATGAAATTCAAGACATCTCAGTGCTACTATAGCCATCTTATGGGGGGAAAAAAAACTTTGGCCAACCCAGAAGCCCAGTATGGGTGATGTTTATGGAGTAAGTATATGAGGGTGGAGTCCCTTGTAGTACAGGTTCCCCTGTTAGGTGAGTGTTCTAGGAACCCATCTGTACCAGTGTATCCGCTGGTAGTCTGAGAGGCTGCATTTGGCTTCAGTGGATTTTTTTTAAGATGGCGAGTTTGTTCACTTTATGGTGGGTGATTTATGAGCACATCTTATCACACAGTGATGAGTGTTCAGCAGTTTTTGACCAAAAACAGCATGACCCCAATGCCCCATGCTCCCTATTCACTTCATCTCATCCCAAGCGATTTTTTTCCCCTGGATGAAAAAAGGTCCTCTGAGGGAAACCAATGGGTAAGAGGTGAAACCAAAATGGCAGAAGCACTAAAAGGCATCAAAGTCTTGTTCGAAAAGTGTTCTGAGCAGTGGAGAAAATGATAGGTGTATTACATCAAATGGTGAGTACGTTGGAGGTGAATGACATTCAAACATGTAAAAGTAAATATACAACTTTGTAAATCAATTCTGGGATTTCTGAGCCCCCCCTTGAGAGGCAGATTTCAGGAGCACTTCCCACGAGTGCGGGCCAGCCAGAAGCAGCAGGGCGCTTGTCTGGGTTGCTTGTGTGGCGGTGCCTCACAGGGTGGCAGGAACTTGGCACTAGGCCGGTCGGGACCCTGGGTCTCAGCAGCCCTCTCCCAGGTAGAATGCCGACTCTGCCCTGCATCGATTGGTTGATTGAAAGAGTGATCTGGGACCACTTTGAGGTGCTTTGGTACCCAGGCTGGCCAGGGACTCGACAAAAAACTGTTCCTTTCCTCACCCTAGGTTACAGCTAAGTTCTGGCATTCAGGATGAAGAGTGAGATCTCATGGTCAAGTGGAGCAGGAAGGCTAGAGTGGCCAGAATTGGTCACTTAGCCGTAGGCCTTCTAGCTGGCTAGCATGTGCATGTTAGGAGAACCATCTCCTTGACGGTCTCTGACCTCCCTGGGGCTGGGAGCTGGGCAAGGATTGGGGCCACAGCAGACAACAAGCCTGGGGGAGACATTTTTGGCAGCCTGCATTGCATTGGCCAGTGAGGGAGGTAGCATCCACTCCAGGGAATAAAAGGATGTTTCGTAGCCATCGTGACTTTGGAGCAAGAAACTGCAGCCATGTATTTCTCAATTGACTTCCGTGGTGGTGTAGCTAGACCACTGTGAGGAACGGCATTCAAGCTTTACGGCTGGCAGGGGGCTGATGGTAAGTGGACCTCAGGTTTGGGATTAGAGCAGGGCATGCCACAACTAGCAATTAGGGACAGGAGGCTTTGCAGGCAGAAGACTGTATTAATGTGCAAGAACTTGTGCTACCTTTTCCAGCAAGGACCTCACCGCAAGTCTGAGGGCAGGTGCAGGCAGCTAGATGTGGGAAAAGAATGACTGCAAAGGGTGTATCCTGGATGGTGGCGGCAACCCTTGGAGAGGGAGCCAGAGAGTGGGAAGCTGACCTGGCCACTGGGCGTGAGGGAAAGGGCTGACAGGGAGGTGAGGGCCCTAGAGGATGCTTGAGCATGGAGTCGGGAGGCCACGCCCTTGCCTACTCACCCACTGGTTGGGCCGCTCCTCCCAGCCATGGCCAGGAAAGGCCAGATGTGCGGGGTCTGGCAACTCCTCCTCGTCGGGCCTTTCTGTGATGCCGAGTCCCGCTGTGGGCAAAGGGAGACTGCCTCCCCCTGCCACCCACACCAGGCAGCTCGGTGCCCCCGTGGCTCCTCTCTCCTCACCCCCCACATCTAGTCAGCAGGTCTTGCCCGTTCTCCCTGCCCAATCCACCTGAGGCCTCTTACACATTTAAAACATGAAAAAAGAAACCACAACTCCCAGCCCTTTCTAGCCACCACCTCCTCCCTCTTCATTGCACAAACAAGCCCCTGGAATGAGTCACGGGCACAACCCTGTCACTCCACCACCCACGGCAACTAGCTGCCGCCCCACGCTGCCCCCAGTTCTCCCCTCTCCATCCTGACCGGCGAACCCACCAGTGAGAGAGGGACCAACCCAGTCCATGGGCTCTGCATCCTACTTAAGCTCTTTGTGGCACCGGACAGTTGACCGCTTTTTTTTTTTTTAACAGTTCTACTAAAGTGTATTTTACAGACCATAAAATCTACCTATTGAAGTAGGTACAGTGATATTTAGTAACCAGAGTGGTGCAGCCATCACCATCACCATCAGTCTAAAGTACCACCCACCCGGTAAGATCCCTCTTGCCCCTTCTACCCCCTCCTCCGTCACGAATCGACTCTCTCTAGAAATTCCCTTCACGGGACTTCAGGCACACACAGTCACACAGTGCACGACCTCTCCCTTCTCAAAGCCCTTCTCTCTGGCTTCCACAGCGCCGCCTCCTGCTTTTCCTCCCCCTCTCAGGCCCTGGCCTCCCCTCGCACCTGAACGCGATGACTCCCCTGTCTCCGTCTCCAGCCTGGACCCCTTCACTGAGCTCTAGGCTCATCTCTGCAAGGGTGTCCACGGGCTGCTCGGCCTCAGCTCGCTGGCAGCGAGCTCCATGGGCTGGGCTCCACATCTCATCCCTCAGCTGGAGCTGAGGGCGGCCATCACCTTCACGCCTTTCTCTCACTGCCGCCTCCAGTGAATCGGTGACCCTGAGGTCACCGCCGAAACACCATATGCACCAAGCACAAGAAGTTCCCCACAGAAAATGTAAAGTATTTTCTTCTTCTGAGAAAAGAGTTGACTTATATTTTGGTTCTTACAAAATCCCTCACATAATGGGAAGCTTTCTAAACTTGTTTTGAACCAAAAATCCCTTTTTGGAGAAAACACATTACCCTGAAATGACCTCAGTCGAGCTAGTTTTGGATGCTTATAAGTAGTCCCCTGACAAAATCAATAAACAAGGAGGCAAAGAAACTGACCACAGGCTTAGTAATTATTTCTCACAATCCTAAGTATTACACGTAAACAAGCCTCTTTATGATCACTGTAAACAGCAACGCAGTGTTGATTTTTGAGGTTTGATAATGGTACTGTAGTTCCGTATGTATTTTTTAAGACTCTTAGAAAAACACTGAAGTATTTATAGATAACATCATAGAGTTAAGTTTTGTGTCAAAACATCATGGAAGGGTCTGTGAGTAGCCTGACCCACTGAATACTGAAATATAGTTACAGGAGAATGGAAAAGAGAGAATGTTTTCATGTTACACAAAAAGGTATTCGTGCTTAGGTTAAAGTTTCCAGTGATAGCATCACACAGTGTTTCAAAAAGTATTCTCTCTGTTAGCCACGTGGAAGAATCTCAACAACACGCCGAACTCAGACGCAACGGTGCAGACACTAACGATTTCACTTACATGAAATTCTAGAATGGGCAGAACTAGTCTGTAGTAACAGACAGTGGGTTAGTGACTGCCAGGTGGGTGCGGGAGACTGGCTGCCAAGGGCCCCAGTCTTGGGGGCTGATGGAAATGTTCTACATACTGACTGGGTGGTTTACGTTTGTCAAAGCCTACCAAACTTTACCCTTCCCTTACATGTAAGTTACTCCTCAATAAAGTTGGTTTTCCCAAAGTGTACTCTCTCAGACAACTTAGAAGGCAGTGAGTGTGCTTTCAGGAATTGTATTAGATGACTCAAAAAGTGACTCCAGTGATTTCTACAAAGATTTATGTAAAGAGTTTGAATGTTACTGCAAAGGTAAGAGTAGGAAAAGTCAACATTCATAAATTAATGTATTGTTTTAAATAACATGGGATTTTGAGTATGTAACGTGTAACTAAACTGTTATATGTGGACATTTGGATCACGCATCTCTAAAAATGTTTATATTTTAGTTGGAAAAAAGCCACAGAATACCTGGACTGATTCTGGACCTGCCGTATCTTCAAGCACACAGGACACCGCTTCTCACTTGGCTCCATCCCCATAGCCGCCAGAGGTCTAAGGTCGGTCTGTGTCCCTTCTCAGGGACCCAGGGCCCTCATCACACTGATCAGTCCTCCGTTGTCATTTCTGTATCCACTGCTGGAGTGGGAACTTGGTCTGATTCCTCTCTGCTGTGTTACTGCAACAAAGGAGGTGTATTTGTTGGAATAAAGGGAGAGAAAGCGAAAAACTTACTCTGCCCTGGCCTACGCCAGAGGCTGACAAGGTCTCAACCCTCCTTCCCTGTAATACAGCAGTGACATACCCCTGCCGCCTTCCTCCGAAGGTGCGCCTAGGGCCCAGCTCTCCCACCTCTCTGGGCCCAGTATATAGACCCCTCGGCAAAGAGAAGGCAGAGTCTGCAGAGAGCGCAGCACCTCTGCAAGTGGCTGGGGCAGGCCTTCTTCTGCCCTGATAGGGAACATGAGGCTCTTCATGGGCTGAGAGTACATCCCCGGTGAGGAGGAAAGCAGGCGGACATCACCGAAGCCTGAAACCCAGCAACTAAGCGGGAGGCATGGATAGATAATGGGGCCAGCCGTCAGGGAGCCTGGACGGAAGGTCTAAGGGTGGAGCTGCAGGTGCACCGCAGTGCAGTCTTATTAAGTGCCAGCTGTATGCTGAGGTGCAGGCTGGCTGGCTCAGAAACCCTTGAGAAGGGCTGACCGGATGCCTAACAAAAGAAACTACTGAGTCAAAATTAAAGAATAGCATAAAGAAAAGGGATAAAGTTTTATGTATGGATCAGGTTAGTTACTGCCAATCTATAAATATGCTTGCTTACCTTCAAATGCAGAAAGGGCTTCACTGAGCTATGCTTTTATATCACACCTTACATTATATAAACACTCGAGGTTATTACCAGGAACAAATAAACTGTCAGCATTTGCTGTTAATTTGCGGAGAACATTTTCTACTATTTCAGTCGAATAAGTGTCCATATGAGAAGCTTCTTTTATAATCTCTCCCCAGGAAAATTTTTCTCCCCAGGAAAATTTTTCTCCCCAGGAAAATTTTTCTCCCCTAAATCTTATCTAAGAGTTTTTGCTTTGGCTACCAGGAAGCTCGGCCACAACTGACTCTCAGTCACAGCGGCTATGATAACCCATACCGACCACGTTATATTCCTCCTCTTATAACTGCAAATCCCATTTCTGTACTATGACGTTTTTGGCCTTGGTTTTCAGTACCCTAGACTTCTTTAAAGGACCAGAAAAGAATACAGAATACATCTGTGGTGGGCACAGTGATGTCTGCCACCCAGGTCTCCTTCAAGGAAGTACTCGTTGCCCCAGCTGCTAGGAGAGCTGCCAGCCCCCAAGGTCACCAGGGTGGCAGAGAGCCATTTGGGTGGGGCTGTGCCCTCCCCAGGGCCAGCCGCTTCCTACAGCTGACTGAGGTGGGGCTCGCCAGGGCCTGGCCTGCCCCACGGCCTGACTTCTCCCCCTGCCTGCTCCTTGCACAGTGCTGATCCCAGCCAAGGGCACTCCCTCATGAACATTCTGCGCTCTAACCTCTGCAGAGTCTGCTTCCCAAGGAACCCAACTTGTGACAACATTTAACCAAATAGCTGAAAAACAGAACATATATCAGGTATGGGTATTGTGGAAAGGGGTAAGGATACACAATATAATGTTTATACTTACCTGTGGAGGAAGGAACACAGCATTGATTCGAGCCAGGCCCTCTGGGTTGGAATCCCATCTCTGCCACCTCTTAGCTGTGTGTCCATGAACATGCCCCTTAATCTCTCTGTGCCTCAGTTTTGCATCTGTAGAATGGGATAATAAGAATACTTACCTTGGTGCTGTAATGAGGAGTAAATGAGCCAACGTGGGTAAAGCAGTTATACTAGGCCTACTATATGCCAAGTGCTATTCCAAGGGTTTGTAAACGAACAGCTGTGTGGACAGGCCCACAGGGCCAGAGGGTCACATGGGCTGAGACTCCTCCCCAGACTTCAGCACAGGTATCGGTGTGGGCCAGGGCATGTTGGAGCATGAGTATTGGCAGAAATAGGCCCAACCAGAACTAGCCTGGGTGATGCACTGGCATGTGCTTTGTGTGGGTGCTAGGCTGCTCCCTCCAATCCAGTGCAGCTGCACGCATTGCCAGTGACACCCACATACCCATATATATGCTGAGCTGAGGGAAGCCCATCCCAGCCACACCCTTTGCACGTCCTGATTTTCCTGAACCTCCTTTGGTGGAGGGAGGCCCTGGAGGCTTGAGATGCTAGCTCAGAAGTCCCAGGAAGATATGGGGCCCTGCTTCCTGATGAAGCACCTGGCAGCAGACTGAAAATATGAGCTCCTGTTGGCAGACATTTCTGGAGCCCTCTAGGGGCCCAGTCTCAGAGGCAAAAACACAAGCAAAAGCAAGGAGGCACGGGCTACATATTGGAGAGCTTCAGAAAATGGAATAAATGGCTTTAAAAGTGCATCGCAGCCCACAGGCTGCCCAAGTTGACATGAGAAGCTCAAGAAGAGCTGAAGCACTTAGGAGGGCCCCTCCTAGAAAAATGGACAAGATCAGATAGGCAGGCAGGGTCTCCATTCAGCCCCCAGCTCTCTTCCTTACTTCATCACCCTGAATGCTCCACCACACTTAGTAAACTCTAATCTTCTTTCTATTCCTAAATTCCCTAAGCTCCTTCTGGCCTCAGGGCCTTTGTACATGCTGTCACCTCTGCCTGGAAAGTACTTTCCTCCAGCCCACCCCTAATAATGCACCTGGCCATCTACTCGCGCCCTCTGGGCCTCCGAGGAGTCCTAGAGAGGTGCTTCTTGTCTCCTAAGTCTAACTAGGACTCCCTAATGTTTGTCTCATAACCCTCTGTTCTTTTCCTCTGTAGCTCTCATCACAATTTGCCTTACATACTAGTGTTTATCTGTTTAATGCCTAAGATTTCCTGGAGGGCACACACTGGGTTTCTCATTTTCCCAGCTCACGCCTCCTGGCTGCAGACAGGGGCAGCACCATTTTAAACCCAAGCCAGCCCAAGCCACACTTTATGAACACTCCTGTTCTGTGAGTTCCATGTGCCCCGGGCCAGCCATTCCCAAGACCTCCCCTCACCCATACCAGTTACGCAGCTAGCCTCCATTCCCACTGACCTACTTAAGCCGGTGACTGCTGTAGCCAGACAGGCTTGGGTTCAAATCCTCACTTGTTAGTTCCATGACCTTGGGACAAGTTACAGAACTTCCCTGAATCTCAGTTTCCTCATCAGTAACTTGGGGACAACAACCTCTAATGAGAGGGTAATTATGAGGATTAGGTGTGCGATGCATAATCGCTGTGGCGCTGGGCCAGGTATTAGGTCAGCTTTGGTTCTCTCTTTCCCATTTAAAGGCCTGTCACTAGATGGCAGTCCATCTCAGCCACTTCACCTCCCCGCAGGCAGCTGAAGCCTCCTTAGCACCAGGGACTAGACCTCAGTTTCTTAGGGGCTGCATTTGAGGGGATCAAAACATACCAACACACACACACGTTACCACTACAGCAAGACAGAGTCAGAGGCAGCTCCAGACACTAGTCAGCACCCTGCTGAGTAGGTTGCTGAGCACACTGCTATACACTCATGAATTCCAGGAAACCTGGATCCTTCTCTGGCATCTGCTGGGTGCTCCGCAGGGCACCTCACCTCTGAAATGTGGTAAGTTGTCCTGACTGGTTCAACATCTGTCTGACCGGCTCCACTGTGACCACAGGTGTCTTCAGTTTGGGCGGTTCTCTGTGACGGGTGAATCTAGAGAATGACTTCAGGAAGACGAAGAGTGTGAATTATTCAAATATGGGCATATCTCAGAGATACTGCGGGTTTGGGTCCAGACCATCATTATGAAGCTGGTATCGAGATAAAGTGAGTTGTAATTTTTTTGCTGGTGGAGAGTGTCACCTTCAGTTTGTAAAAAACACACCACTTGTGAAACACAATAATACCAAGCACACTAAAATGAGGTCCACCTGTAACCACAAAAAGGCCTTGGGACTGGAGGACAGTGAAGGGGAGGTGGGGAGAGATGAAGTGGGAGAGAAAGGGGCCAGGCCAAACTGGACCTGCGGTGGGGCCAAGTAGGGAGTGTGGATTTTACCTGCAGTGGGAGGTCAAGGAGGGTTTGAGGCTGAAGGAAAGGAATCATGATTTAATTTCCTTTTAAAGATGAAAGAAAGCAAGAACAAGGAGGGTAAAGTCTGGATGAGAAAAGATGGGCCTTGGGCTTGTGGGTCGGTGGAGCTATTTAAGGGCAGAATGAACTGAACTTGGTGAATTGCTGTGGGGTTGATACAGAGAGAGGAATCAAAGATAACTCCAGGGGCTTTGGACCAAGCGCCTTAGCATTTAAGTGCGGTGTTCTAAGAAAGTGAAGACTGTGGGAGGAGCAGTTTGAGGAGGGAATGAGATGTCTGCGTCAAGTGGGGACGCAGAGCAGGCAGTGGGATGCAGGGGAGATACAGACTCAGTGCTGTGGATGCCTGGGGTGGGGCAGGTGTGAAGCCAAGGGGCAGGGCAGGTCGCCTCAGGAACTGGCCCAGGACCCGGCCCAGAGGGAGAGAAGCTTCTGAGGTCGAAAGGCAGCGGCCAGAGCAGGAGGAGGAAAACCAGGGGAGCGAGGCCAGGAAAACCAAAGCTTAGAAGAGCATATACAGGAGGGGCACCGTGAAGTAGAACCTCAACATGTCCTAGTGCGTGGACGCGGAGGGCAAGGTGGGGCGGGCAGTGCCATATGCGAAGGCCTGGGACGAGGGCCACTGGGGACCACGAGTCTAAAGATCCTGTAGGCGATGCTCAGGCCTGGGGGTGTTTATCCAAATGACGGGACCCATAAAGGGAACACTGGCCACAGGGGACAGGACAAACGCGGGTCTGCGGCCTGCGGGCCAGCCCGGCGCGGCCAGAACGAGGGGGCGAGACAAGCCTGCTGTCTATCAGAACCCAGCGGCCAATCCGAAGGCAACCCCGCCCCCGCCCCTCCCCGGAGAGGGCGCGCAGAGGACCCGCCGCTGCCGCCGGGGTGAGGCGGCCGGGCCTGGCTCCCTCCGCCGGGCAGCCCGCCCAGGTAACTGGGTTTGGCCGGCGGGCCTCGGGGGCGCTGAGCGCCCTCACCTCTCTTTCCAGTTGCTGCGCTGGTGGCGTTTGGGGAGTGGGGGTGAGGAAACAGCTGCGGCTGGGCCTGTACGGGACAGTGGGCTGGGCATCAGCCTGTGCGACTGACTGCTGGGCCGGCGCGCGGCTCCGCGCGTGACGAGCTCGGCCGTGGCCACCAAGCTGTGTCCAGGGCCGCGTGAGGAAGCTTTGCGGGATGGAGGAATGGGGCTTGACCGCAGGAGGCGCGCGTCTTCCTGCCGCCATTGCGCCCTGCGCCCCGGCCCGGGGCCTGGCCGGGGGTCGCGGGGCGCAGGCGCAGCGGGCGGCGAACGGGGGTCCTCCCCACGGGCGCGCGGGCGTCTTTGTTCCCGGCTCGCGGGCCGGGGAGGGGCCTGCAGAACCGACCCGCCCCCCACTCAGGCCCCGCCCCGTCTCCGCCCGCAGGAGCTGCCGCCGCGGCCCACTCGCCGGCCGCCTTAGCCGCCGCAGCTGCCGCCTACTCCCGCCCGCGGATCTTGCGCCGCCGTCGCCGCCTCTGCCGCTGCTTCTGCCGCCCCCAGCGCCGAAGCCATGGCGGGTGTCTCTTCCCCGTGCGCCAATGGCTGCGGGCCTGGCGCGCCCTCAGACGCCGAGGTGCTGAACCTCTGCCGCAGCCTTGAGGTGGGCACCGTCATGACTTTGTTCTACTCCAAGAAGTCTCAGCGGCCCGAGCGGAAGACCTTCCAGGTCAAGCTGGAGACTCGGCAGATCACGTGGAGCCGCGGCGCCGACAAGATCGAGGGGGCCAGTAAGTGTACCCCTGCCCGGGGCCCGCTGTGCGCGCGCGGGGTCGACCGGCTCCTCGGCGCCCGGGCCCGCTGCCGGAGCGACTTGGGCAAACTTTCCTGCCCTTCCCTCCGGGCTCCGCCCCCGCCTCGGCCCTGGTGGTCACCCCAGGCGGGGGGCATCCGGGTCCTCAGTCACCTGACAGGACACCCCCTCCCCCAGCCAGGGGGAATGTTCTGGCGCTTTGCCCAGAGGCCTAAAAATCCTAGCGGGTTAGAGACCCGCGGAGCAGGCATCGGGTCCCCCACACTCCGGTGTCCGTGGAGGTGAGGTGAGCCAAAGGCAGCACCCACACCCAGCTTCTGAACTTGTCTGGGGTCGGGCAAGATGGTCGCCACCCACCACCCTTTATCCAAAAAGAGCAGTTTTGATGAAACTCTTTGGGCCCGAAGGCTGGGCTCTTATTTGCAAAAGAACCTTTTGGGTTCTCTCAGCAGAACTTCAGCAGATGTTGGGGAAGGGCTGCGTTTGGAGCACAGCTGAGCCTACTCATCTCCCTCTTGGGAGACGGTGGAAGGGGTCTTGTTTGGTTTGGAAAAGCCTGTGAGAACGCAGTGGCTGCTTTTCCCCCCACTGCTGCTTTTGTCCTGAAACTGAATTTTGGAGCCGTGGGTGGGCTGACACCCGAAGTCGAGAAGGGACTCTTGGTAAAGAGCCAGGCACCCCCTGCCCTCAGGAGCACGTTCAAAAAGCTTGGCCCCAGTGCCTTAGAGTCGGGTACTCTTTTCAAGAACGGACAGCCACTTTGGGGTCTAGCGCTTTGTGTTCTGCATCCTGTGGCTGCAGAGAGCCAGGAGCAGCTACTCCTGATTTCCTGCCTCCTTGCCCTCCCAGTGCTGTGCGTGGCTGCTTTTGCACAGGTCTCAGTTGGGAGGAGGGGGGAGGGGGATTTTGAAAAACCCCAGATCTATCAGAATGTCATTCCACTTAGCATGTGCCTGTGCTGTGGCCGGATGGGAGCCCAGCTCTCCTTCCCCCGCCTTCAAGTGTGAGAGATGATGTGTGCTGTGTGTTGCTTCCTGCAAGGACCCCCAGAGACTCATGTTAGAGAGAGCCAGGCTCCAAACTAGGTTCAGGGGACTCCCAGGGGAAGGTCCTACAGACGTCTTTGGGCATGGTGTACATGGGCGAGGAGCCTGGAGGAAGGGAGATCTTGTGGTGAGGCGGCCATCCTCAACTACAAACTCCAGATCTGATACAGCTGCCGAACTCAGAAATGGCAGCTGCCTTCCTCTGTGCCCCCATGGGCCCTGTCAGCCACTGGGAGGAAATATTATTGATTCAAGAGACAGGATTCTAAAGTGGAGGAAGGGCAGATGATGCAGAGAGCCGATCTAGTCCTGGGAGCATCACCCAGGTGTCCCCTTGATTGCTTCTTGATGCTCCCTGTGAATCTGTGGCACTGGCTGGAGCTTCCCAGATAGAAATCTCCTGGGTAACAGGCTCATTTCAAACCATTCATGTGACCAGCAGGGGCGATAAGTACAGCACAGTGGTTGAAGGCAAGGCTCGGTTTGAACCTCCCCCCACCCCCCTGGCCTGAGTATTAGCTGTGTGATACTAGCCTTAATTTTCCTCAGCTGTAAAATGGGAGTAATGATATGTCTGCTGTATGCTGTGTGGTTGTTTTGGAGATTAAATGAGAAAATTGATGTAAAACATCTAGCACGGTGTCTGGCACATGCATGTTTAATAAATATGAGCTGTTATTAATAATAAGAATAGACTGTGACTGTGAGTGGTGTAGAGGCAGAGTGGCTGGAGGAGAGGGTGAGGGTGCGGGAAGGGAGGAGGATGGGGACCGAGTTCACGTTTCACTTAGATTACCACCCGGAAAAGGGGAGGAAGTGGTTTTTTTTTCTTTTTCTCTTTTTTTTGCCCCAACCCGTCTATTCACTCACTTGCTTACCATGTAGAACAGTGTGTAAAATATATGGAGATTTACACAAACGATGCCTGACTTTCTTGTTTGTAAGTTGGGGCCTGAACAGAAGGAAGGGGTGTGGAAAGGAATGACTCTAGTCCATGGTCTCAGGTCTTTGGAGGGTGGAGGCCCGAATGCAGAAGGCCTGCTAACCCCAGCCCCCAAGGGTGGGTCAACCAGAGGGGTCCGTGTTCAATGACCTCATTAATTAGCTGGGATTTGAGAAGCCTGGAGCAAATGTAAAGGGTGTCAAAGGGGCCCTGGCCCTGTGATTTTGGAGGCCTGGGTTGAAGGAGTCTGGGTAAAAACGCTAGTGAGACACTTGTGTGGATTTCAGGTCTTGTAAATGCAGCCCCCTGCTGAAGCTGGCCCACTTCTGCCCATTCATGGGTGCACCTCGTCGGTGGGTCCTCATCCCTGCAGCCCCGCTCCACAAACTCGAAGGAAGGTTGGGCTGCCAGCTGGGGTCCCCTGCCACCTGGCCTCTTGCCCAGGTGCCTCAGGTGTCTGGCCTTCCCTGCTGGCCTTGTCAGAGTACCGTGCGCAGTGCCTGCGGCATGGCCAAAGGGACAGAAAGACATCATTACCCTCAGGGCGTCTTTGACCCCCAAGGAGAGAGGGTGTGGGTCAGGGAAAGGGCGCAGCAGTCCTGTGTGTGACCTCGCTCTGGCCCAGCTGTGCCCTCTCACTTCATCACTGGTGAAGTAGGGCTGGCACCTGCTGGTCTCTAGGATGGTAGTTTGGCTCAAAAGGGGTGGAGAAGTGCTTTGGTGCCTGGTTTCATGGTGGTACAACAGGAACCAGGGTGATGTTTAGCTTTTTTTTTTTTTTTTGCAGATACTGACATAAGTGAAAAGCAATTACAGACTTCCTGCTGAGTGCTACAGAGACTTTTCATTATGCTTTCTTGGCTAATCCTTACTTACAAAGGCCCAAGGGGGTGGACTGGAGTACCACTCCTTTTACAGATAAGGAAATGGAAATACTCGAGTGAATTATGCCAGGATGACAGTGCTGGCTGGGACAGTCTCAGCCAGGCCCAGCTCTCCAGGCAGCGGCCGGCTGGCCCATCCCTGGAGGACCCAGCCCCGGGGCGGTGGGCTTCGGGCCCCTGTCCCTGTGGTCTGCGCCGCTCCTCTGAGGAGAGATCTTTGTGCTCTGGTCTTACATCAGACGGCCTCCGCCTCCCTGATGCTGCCCCACATGGTTCCTTCTGGTGTCTTCTGGGGTGAGATGGTTCAGTCAAGGGACATTGTGGGCAAGGGGCCCAGGTGGAGAATTCTGCGTGCCAGCCAAGCATGTCTGTGGGGATTTTGGAGCCCTAGGCTTTTGTCTTTGATTCTTCTGCAGATAATCTTCTAGATGCTGGGCTCCCTTGGGTGGTGAATGAAAACAGGTCCTCGCCCCAGGGGAACTAAAATGGGCAATGGCAGTGTTGAGTGGTATCTTTGACGACGGGGTGGGGGGTAGCAGAAGAAAGCAAAGAGCCGGGACCAGGCAGTCAGGCTTGGAGAGGAGATGATGTTGGTACATCTGGCTGGGGCTTGACCCCTGTCAGACTGGGGAGGAGACGGACCACGCGGCTGCTCAGGCTGGTGTCAGCCGGGGTTTTCGGGGTTTTCTCTGTCCTGGCTGGCTGCTCCCCCTGGGAGAGGGGCAGCAGCACGAGTCCCGATCCCCAGAGCCGGCCGTGCCTGCCTGTGTGTTTCCGGTCTGACTGGAGTTTTTCCAGGGGAAGTCAGGCCTCTTAGTGTTTGTTTAGTGCCCCAGGCCGGCGGTGATGTGTGGGCTTCAGACCAGCCCTGCTAGGCCCCCCACCATCTGGGGCTGTCTTTCCTGTGAACCTAGGAAGGGGGCCTGCTGCACAGATGGCTGGAGGAGCGAGCACATGGGCACCCCCAGCACCTCCAGCCCAGCTTCCCCTGTGTGTGCTGCACAGGTGCGCGGGCTCGAGTCACCGGTTAGAGAGCTAGGCCACCAGCCTGGTTTGGGGTCGCCCCTTGGAATGAGGAACCTTTATTTGTTCAATAAGTATTATTTGAACACCTTTTAGTTCACTAAGGGTTCAGAAGATGCATAAGACATGGTCTATGTCATTGAGGAACTCCCAGACTCTTGGAGGAGACAGACTTGGGAATGTGTAATTATAATGTACTGTGACAAAGGTCTGTAAAGAGAGCTTCTCTTAGCGAGCCGGGGGTTGAGGGGGGAGAGCCAGGGGAAGTGACCTGTGACTGAGCCTTGAGTGACTGGGGAACTTGCCCGTGCCCTGGCTGGGGCACGAGGGTCACTGCAGGGGTCAGCAATGCATTAGGTGTGTTAGACATGAGGCCACCTTCCCGGGTTTTATATATATATATATGTATATATATATAGTGTCACTCCTCTGTATCCCTGGGTCCTGGGTTTCACATCTACAGATTCAACCAGCTTCAGATAAAAACAGTACTTCCAGTCCTGGCTGGTGTAGCTCAGCGAATTGAGCGCAGGCTGGGAACCAAAGGGTTGCCAGTTCAATTCCCAGTCAGGACACATGCCTGGGTTGCAGCCTAGGTCCCCAGTGGGGACCACG